GACAACACCTTCTTTCCAGGGACAATGTTACTCTCTCCCAGGCATATGCCTTTGTGTCAGGGGAGGAGTGCAGGAGAGATGTGATGATGAAAAACCTTATTCCTTATCAGTCTGCCATGGTAAGTGCTGTGAAACCTAATCAAAGTGGAGATCAAGGTGGCAGTGAAATCAAGAAGGAAGATAAAAGAGATTTGATCTGTGACTACTGTAAGAAGCCTAAACACACAAGAGATACTTGCTGGAAGCTTCACCCACATCTTGTGTCGACTAGATTGAAAAATAAGAAGGGAAATGCACACATGGCAATTACTGGTGACATTCCGGCCCCTCCTACTACAGCTGCTCTAGAGTCTGTTGCAGCTGCTGCAGCAAGGGCCGAACTTGAGAGGTATGGGCTACTTCTGAACCAGCGGGATACAACCAGTTCCAGTTCAACTGCAAGCGAACAGCAAGGTACAGGTGGCACTGGTGGAGTCCACTCTACTTCCTTTGCTCACACAGGTAGTTCACACGTCACTGCAAATTATGTTTCTACTTCAGGTAAGGAGGGACCTCCTTGGATTATAGATTCTGGAGCCTCAAAGCACATGACCCAGAGCTCTACTATTTTTTCAACTTACCAGCTCTGTTTTGGCAGAGATAGGGTCTCCATTGCTAGGAAGGGATCTGTCAAGATTAGTGATTCTATTTCTCTACCCTCTGTCCTTCATGTTCCCAGATTGAGCACTAATTTATTATCTGTTAGTAGTTTGACTAAGAACCTGAACTGTTCAGTAATTATTTCTCCTAGTCATTGTATTTTGCAAGATCTGGATTCAAAGAAGACGATTGGGAGTGGTCGTGAAGTGAATGGAATCTACCTCCTGGATGTACTTCCTCCTCATCAGAGTCATCGTGTCAACAGGGATAGTGAGTCAGGGCCTGTGGGCCAAATTATGCTTTGGCATAATCGTTTGGGCCATTTACCTTTTTCTTCTTTGAGTTTTTTGTTTCCAAAACTTTTTGAGTCTATTAGTTTGTCAAGTCTGGAGTGTGAAGGTTGTCAACTTGGAAAGCATTGTAGACATTCATTTAAACCTAATATTAAAAGATGTTCTTCTTTTGATGTTATTCATTCGGATGTGTGGGGCCCTTACTATGTTCCTTCTATGGGAGGCTATCGCTATTTTCTCTTATTTGTGGATGATTTCTCACGATACTCTTGGAATTACATGATGAGATCCCGCGATGAAGTACCATCCTTGGTGAGGCAATTTCACCAAATGGTACTAACACGGTTTGGAACAAGAATAAAGGTGTTCACATCCGACAATGCCAAGGAATATTTTGAAAGACACCTTGCCTCATATCTGTTAGAATATAGTGTTGTCCATTAGAGCAGTTGTCCCTACAGTCCACAGTAGAATGGTATTGCAGAAAAGAAGAACAGACACATTGTTGAGATTGCAAGAAGCATGATGATCACATCTACAATTCCAGTTCGATTTTGGGGTGATGCAGTTCTCACAACAGTATATATGATTAATAGGGTTCCCTCTCGTATACTTGGTTTCAACACTCCATTCAGTCTCCTTTTTCCTCAGGGGGAGATGTTTCATATTCCTCTCAGGGTGTTTGGGTGTGTTGCACATATCCTTGGTCCTCACCGCTCGAAGCTTGATCCCAAGGCAAAGAAGTGTGTCTTCCTTGGATATGCAGAGAATCAGAAAAGGTATTGTTGCTATGATCCAGTCTCTAGGAACCGGTATGTTACCATGGATGTCACCTTTTTTGAATCCACGTACTTCTTCTCAAAGAATCCTTCTCAGGGGGAGTGTTTTGGAGAAGTGAGTCAACAGTCTATTCCTCTCCCAGTTCCAGTCCCTGTGTCTACTCCTGTGCTTGACCACCACCCTATGTCACCTACCTTGCCACCTCCTTTGCGTTCTGCTTCTCAGCATTACTTACGACAGAGACTTCACAAGGAGGTTGATTCCACTACAGCAGAACTCACATCACTTCCTATCGATTCCTTGGAGACTCTAGATTCGGCTGACATGGATTCAAGTATTCCTCTTGGTCCCACTACTGTTTCAGTTCCCATTGATCCTACTAACACTGTTACAGATAACCTTGATCTCCCTATTGCTCTCAGAAAAGGGAAGAGAAAGTGTACTGCTCATTGTATTTCACAGTACTTATCCTACAGTGGACTTTCTCCTTCCTACCGTGCTTTTCTTTCCTCTCTTGATTCAGTGTCTATACCCAAGAGTGTTAGTAAGGCTCTCTCCAAACCTGAATGGAAGACAGTTATGCAGGAAGAGATGGCAGCTTTGATTAAGAATCAGACATGGGATATTGTGGATCTACCAGAAGGCAAGACTTGTTGCAAGGCAAGACTTGTTGCAAAAGGGTACACACAGACCTATGGCATTGATTAATTAGAGACCTTTGCACCAGTTGCAAAGATGACCTCTATTCGGATACTTCTTTCTCTTGTTGCCTCATACTCTTGGCCCTTGCTTCAACTTGATGTGAAGAATGCTTTCCTAAATAGGGATCTGCAAGAAGAAGTGTATATGGATCTTCCTGCTGGCTTTTACAATGATACTGAAAAGGAAAAAGTATGCAGGCTTAAGAAGTCACTTTATGGCTTGAAACAATCTCCCAAAGCATGGTTTGACAGATTTAGAAAGGCCTTAATTGCTTTTGGCTACACTCAAACTCAATCCGATCACACCTTGTTTGTGAAGCGAAGGGGATCTTTGGTGTCAGTCCTAATTGTTTATGTGGATAATATTGTTGTCACTGGGAATGATCTGAGTGAAATTGATGGTCTGAAAAGGAACATACATAAAGAATTTGAAATTAAGGATCTTGGAGAACTGAGATACTTCTTAGGCATTGAAGTTGCAAGATCAAAACATGGAATTTTTATCTCTCAAAGGAAGTATGTCTTGGATCTTCTTCAAGAGACAGGGAAGCTTGGAACAAAGGCAATCAGCACCCCTATTGATCAGAATCATAAAATCAATGCATCAAAAGGTGAACCAGTAAAAGACATTGGAAGATATCAGAGACTTGTGGGTCGGCTGCTATACTTGTGTATGACAAGACCAAACATTTCCTATGCAGTAAGTGTAGTAAGTCAATAGATGCATGCTCCACGAGTCCATCATTGGGAGGCAGTTGACAGGATTCTTGCTTATCTGAAGGGACACCCGGGCAGAGGCATATTGTTTATTGATCATGGACAGTTGAAACTAGAGGCTTATACAGATGCAAATTGGGCAGGATGCCTTGATGATAGGAGATCAACTTCAGGAGTGTGCACCCTTGTTGGGGGTAACCTTGTCTCATGGAAGAGTAAACAAACAGTGGTGGCAAGATCAAGTGCTGAAGCCGAATAAAGGGCCATGGCACATGGAGTTTCAGAACTTCTTTGGATCCGTTCCCTGTTAAAAGAAATTGTTGTACAGGCAGAAGAACCTATGATGCTATATTGTGATAACTAGGCAGCAATTAACATTGCCCATAACCCAGTCCAGCATGACCGAACTAAGCACATTGAAGTGGATAGATATTTTATTAGAGAAAGAGTAACTTCTGGAGAAGTTTGTCTTCCATACATTGCTTCTGATCTACAGCTCGCTGATGTTCTCACAAAAGGTGTTGCAAAGAACAAGCTGGAGCATGATCTACGCAAGTTGGGAATGTGTGACATTTACTCCCACCTTGAGGGGGAGTGTTGAGTTGGTCCGAGTTGTTTTTTATTTAGTTAGGAGGTTATTGGGCTTTAGGCCCATTAGTTTATGTTTTTTTTAAGTTGTGACTGTTCAGCTATATTAGTAGCCGCCCTACTAAAGGCATCATTGTAATATCTCATCCTTTAAGTATAAATAGAATGAGAGGTAGGTGGCTAGGGTTAATTTTACAAGAAACTCGACTACTGAAATCTTCTTCTCCTTTCTTCTCTACTGCTGAAATCTTCATCTTCCCCCTCTTTCCTTTCACAAGAAACTCAACTAAATCTGCAATTAGTGATTTCTACTCATACATACAATGTGTATGTATGTATATTGCATACATACAATCAGCTGAAGAATTGTCTGATCTTGGCACCTCTTGGATTTGGATGTTCCTTCTTCACCCCTCACCGAAAAAACAAAACCAAATCTCTGGTGCCTATAATCCAATGACATAATTGACCAAGGGCCATCTACTCCACTACTCCACCTTTCATTCATCCAGTAACGGTCTGCTAATGACTTTCCACCATCACTGTATCAAGTCCCAGGGAAAATATCATTAATAGGCCATGTAACAGTAAATTCAGTAATGGCACTGGAATCTCTGCTATGATAAAATTTCCCAATCCAAACAGGCTCAATTACATCAGTAAGTCACGCCCTTATTACTCTGCCATATATCCTTAGGAACAATAAGACTAACATTCAATTCACAAACACACTGTTTGGAGATTTGGAATCACAGGGAGACCAGAGATCAGGTGCCTCTTGAAAGAGAATGGTGTATTTTTTAGTTAGAAGATCAGCTAATTGTTTGGCAGATGTGTTAGCCAAACAAGAGAAAAACAGGGATGAATTATTTTGGGCTGAATGTAATAGAGAAAAGTCATTAGGGGCTCAGATTCACTAAGCTAGGAGCTGAGCCTTGTGATTCTAATTCTTTTATCTAATGAAAGTTACCATTTTCTATAAAAAACCTAAAAAATATGGAATGCAGTATGCGGATAAGCACCAAATGCTAAGCATTAAACCCTTTAGAAGGCATGGCAAAACTAAGATGCATACTAAGCATTGATACAATGAGTAATTACAAGAAGGGAGAAAATAAAATGAGCTAAATTTGGACAACAAAAATATCATAGTAACTAAAAAGGAAAATCAAATTAGCATTAGAGGTTAAGATACTTACACATTCTTGTGAATCTTACAAGTGTTGAATAAATGACAGAAGATAATAAAGGCAAAAGAAACATGGGAGAAACTTTAAGTGCCCTTATCTTCCAGTCTAAATCCAGTGATCTCGTTGCCATGATGGCATAACCTACTGCAACAACCTGCAAAATGCAAAACCAGTAAGTAACCTGCTCTAAAGGAATCATAGATGTAGACAGACACCATCAAACAAGGACCATGATTTTGTAGGCCAAACAAAGATAAATAAAAGGAAGGAAGGGTTTAACTAATTTACCCCTTGCTGTAATGGCCATACAAATTCCTTTTTCTGACCAAAATATGAAGAATATATTTAAGGATCAATAAAGACCAAAGAGACCCTAGGTAGTAGGTATATAATATGAAAAGCATGTTATGCAGAGAAGAAAGGGAATTGACCCCACACATTCACATCCTATGAATATCCCAAGGCGTCATACCAACTATAACTCCCACTTCACCAAATCATCAGCAAGAGTTAAGTTTCAATTCAACCTTTATACCAATTGGACTGGAAAACCATAGACCTTATATATGAGTGTTTCATTATGTCAGAGTGGTTAAAGTTGCCTAAAACATTCATTGACAATTTAAATTAAGCCAAGATTTCTCAGAAGTGGATCCCAAGGGTCAATATTAAATGAATATGACTCAACCTAGTGATATATAACCAATTCCATATGATTATATCAGCTGTAACCCCATAAAATCATTTGACATAAATAAAATGAAGAATCTATAGAGCTTCCCTAAAAGACCCTTGAAGCTCCCCAACGCTTCAGAGGACAGCAAGCATAAAAGATCTCCACATCAATTTCCCCAAGCTTCCAAGGAAGGTGACTATTGCAAGTGAACCACATTATGAGGAAGGGGCCATCAAATCCCAAATATTGTTAAGCAGAGATTCCAAATAGCTGCAAGCCTGTAACTACATGGTAATTGTTAAAAAGACACTTCAGCAATTCCCTTCTGCCAACGACATGATGCAAGCATCAGCAATGGGCCATCAAATCAACAGCCAATCTGTCTTCCTCAAAAACATATCAGTAAGTGTTAAATTTCCCCAAGCTTCCAAGGAAGGTGACCATTACAAGTCAACTACATTATGAAGAAGGGACCATCAAGTCCCAAATGTTGTTAAGCAGAGATTCCAAATAGCTGCAAGTCTGTAACTACATGGTAATTGTTAAAAAGACACTTCAGCAATTCCCTTCTGCCAACGGCATGATGCAAGAATCAGGAATGGGCCATCAAATCAACAATCAATCTGTCTTCCTCAAAAATATATCAGTAAGTGTTAAATATCTTATCACACTTCTCAATCAAAAGCTCTAGATTTAGAAGGCTGAGCTTTCAGAATAGACTTCAGAAGAAAGGACATTAAGATGGACCATACAAAAAATTCCACTCTCCTTACCTCTGAAAAATACTTCATTAAGACACCTTTAAAAGAAGACAACTCGTCAATTTCCAGATTCCATAGATTCCTGGAAAGACTGAAATATCAAGATACAATAAAAGGAGACACCAAAGAAACCTAAAAGATGGGCATATAATTTTACCTGGACATGAAGATTACAGAGAATTTGACCCAGGGTAGGATCATCCAAATGAAAAAGTCCCCTTAAAATCTCATTTTACCACTCACATTACACATGATGTACCAACAAAATTGAGGAAGGATACCTGAAATGGTTCCAAGGACAAAAGAGTGCAACTGTGTTTGTGGGAATATAATTCCCCTGCAACCTGTATTTGTTTATTATTAGCGACAGCCAGAGTGAAGTTTTAAGGACAACTAAAGTCACTTGCCATGGAGGGCAAGATTCTTTTCTTTGAAAATCTGTACAACTGGACAACTTCATCTTCAATTTTTCATAACTTAATCAGGAACCTAAATATCATTATGTAATAAATGGAAAACTTGACATCTTCAGCATCCTTCCATCTATAGGAGATATGTACTCTTTTACAAGAAGGAAGTATTTTTCAGAACCCAAAACACGAAATCCACAAACCCTTTTAAAAACGAAAAATTCTTCCCCAAACCTTACAAAGAAAAGACAGAACTCACTACCAAGACCCACAACATCTCAAAGCCCAAAAGAAGTCCCCCAAAAATCTCCAAACTAAAACTGACCCTGACAACCTTCACCACCCCAAATTCCCCTTGAGAACTTTCTCCATTCAAAATATATCTATTTTCCAGTTACAGAAACGCTTTTTTCCTCACAAATTCTTCCCCTCTGAAAAAAGATAGCCCTAATACCTTGCTTACTTGGACTTCAGTTTCCACCATCTTTTCCAAATCCATCTTTTGTTCGGTTTTCCTCAATCAATCAATAACCACCTCCTTGTTTTCCTCCTCTCCTACATTTTTCTCTTCCTCCACAACCTAAGCCTCCTCCTCAAACAAAGAAGATTTTGAACCTCTGAACATAGACCCAGTTTCTTTTTTTTTTCCACCTCTTTCTCCAATGACTACAAACCGATACTGTTTCTTGCACTACTTTGTGTTCTAGTTCTATTCTTCATCCTCTTCCTCTTGTAAAATCTCTTATACTTTCTGCAAGGGCCATCCCCAACTAGTCCTTCAAACAATGAAACACTTTTGTAACATGAATCAACTGACCAACATTAGATTCCTTGGGTTTTTTCAAGTTTACCAAAGAATCATCGCCTTTCTTTTGATTTCTCAAAGCCCACCAAACCCTTTTGCACTGTTTCTCCTATTAACCCATCTGAAAACAAATGCTCTTCTAGATCAAAGCCCCCAAGGGGTTCATGGCAACGAGAACCACCTTCTATTACTGAGCCCTGGATATCTTCCTCTGTGTTCTGCTCTTCAATCATTGTTGCAACCCTATCCTAAGTCTGAATAAGGCCTAAAGAAGCCTTAGCACCTCCGAGTAATTGAGCTTCAAATTGTCACTCGAGTATCTTGACCTGTCTTTATCAAAAAAACTTGTTATCACCCAATCCCACGCTTCACATTTCCTCCTACCCTAACTTTCATGCTTCCTAGAGGAATGTTTTTTGAACCTTATAACCTTTCTTTCCATAACCAAATTTGATAATATATCCTTTCTCCTTCTTTCTCTCATTAAACCATGATTCTGAAACACCAAAGGCTCTGCTAACGTCTTTGAGGTAGACGGTGATAGATCTCTCCAAAGATCTACCGACATTCAATCCTGCCCCCCCCCTCCACATGCTCAAGTAAGTCACCACATGACTTTAAGAAACCTTTGCTTTATTGGTCCCAAGATGTCAAGGCCAAAATGGCTTGGGTCTGGCCCACCTGCTTCCTCTGTCGCATGACTCTTTAAAATATCTCATGCCAGTTCAACACTCTCTACCTCAACACTAAAAGTCCTAGATGACCCCCACTTAGGGCCATGACCCTTCGACTTCTCCTCCAAAACTTACTTTGATCTTGATTTCCTTCTTGCTCCACCTCTAACCTTCTTATTATAATCACCTCTAACTGCAGCACGTGTAGGATCTTGGTCAAGAGCAAACTCCAGTCAACCCTGATCTGAGCCTACACAAAGAGTCTTTCTAGCTTCCTCTGAAGACATGCTACCAAAGACTATTTTGGGAACTGATGTTACGTTCTCTGTGCAAGTTCTTTCCCAAACGCAAAAGAAAGAACCATTTCGAGCTCTTCCATTAAAGATAAAATAGCGCTCATCAACCCTCTTCCACACAGGTCTCTGATTTTTGTTGACTCCAATACTCTTCATTTGAATATGCCACCCCAGGATTGCCAAATAGAACAGATACTTCAAAATTTTCATCTTCCTTTCTGCAGCCATTGCTCCACTGGGAAGTTTCAATGGAGGTTTCTAACCAGACATTTGACGGAAAACCTATTCAAGCATACCTCCAGCTTCCTGGGAATACATTCAGGTTTCATCCTGACTATCCTCATTGCAGCCAAATGAAGACCATCCAAAAAAACTTCTTTCAAATGCACCCCCGCAAATAACAGCAATTGACAGAAGAATTTCTTTCTTCCACAAGTTGAACAGAAACCCCAAAACCCTTACAATTACTCCTTCAATGAAGGAAAAATCTTTCGCAATTGAGAACAAAAACCATCTCTCGACCATCACTTTCCCCTCGTGTGTATGGACTGTTTCAGTTTCTACCTCTGTGATTTTCTCAGTGAACTCTAGTAGAGATCTGCATCTATCATAAAAGGTGACTATGATTGCCATCTTCAAATTGAAATGTCTGTGGATATCTTCCCCCATTCTCATCCAATCTCTCTCTTCTTGATTAGCTGATATCACAAATCTGTCCTCCCAAATTTCTTTACCTCTGTTCATCACCACTAACTTACCTACACCAAAGCCCACAAGCAAGGATCAAAGGCTCCCCTTCCACAGCATTGATCTTGAGAGATGGATAGGCCCCCTGTTAGCATTTTCCTTCTTTTGCAAATACTTAAAAAAAAGGAGTTTTTGAGACCTCTCCCCAGCCTGAACTTCTCTTACGTTCCGGAAAACACAACAGCTCCCTTTGTCCAAAAAACTCATATAGCACTAAGTACCTTTATTTATTGTTTTCCTTCTTTTCGGCCCAAATCTTCTACATTCCTCAACCTTTGAAATCTTCAAACAAGATTCCAATTTGCTGTTGACGCACCACCAATCCAGTTTTTGAACCATTCAATCACTTCTACAGACAAAAACACAGTAGCTCTTTTCATCTCTGTAACCTTCAACATATCCGAACCCTTAAACCTTGTCTCCTCAAAGACAAAAGTTTTTGCTTCTATCTTTAGGCTTCTCCAAACCTAAGACATGACCATTTCTAGGGACTTTTTTAAAGACTTCAAACAAGATCGACATCTTCAAAACTTCGGCTTTTGTGGCCCAAGTAATGCAACAGACAGACCACCAACCAAAAAACCAGCAACACCACCAAAAATAAAGGCATTGAGTGGTCCCATTCTGTTAAGATCTATAATGGTAGACATGGTAAAATTGGTTACATAACAGAAGAAACTGGAAACCTGCATTCATAGATCATTCTCATGCTAAATGGGTACAATACAAGAAGCTATTTAGGATTATAGGATCTAGGATTACCCCAAAGAGGCAGACCAACATAC